TGTGTGTGTGTGTGTGTGTGTGTGTGTGTGTGTGTGTGTATTGTAAGCAAATAAGTATAGAATAATTTTTGATATTTGAAATATCTTTTTGTTTATAAAGATGTACATTTAAATTATTTCTATTCGACTATTCGATAAGACGTAGCACGATTTAATTAATACGAAGATATAAAATTCTGTGTATCGTTTCTATAAAAAAATAAATTTGCTTCATAAGCAATCTCATAAGTGGTATTTATCAGTTACATTTTTATTAACTTTACGCTAGAACAAGTACAAATGTTAAAAATACACATTAAATATTGACAAATTCAATAATAGCTCATCGATAACATCGCTAAAGATGTAGTGGACAACAACAATGAATAATCTCGCGATTAATGAAAAACAATTCAATGTTTCGTCGTTAAGAGTCACAAATCATAACATATGATCGGTATACGTGTAAAAAGTTGTAGATCAATAAAGTTCGTTTCTACACGTATGGAAATTACGAGGAAAATGTAACGACTGATTACTTATTTAAATTAGATTTGCTTGTGGGAGAATCTAGTTGGTCTGTGCTATTCATAGCTCTTACTTCTCTTTGTAGTTCTTTTACGACTGTCGCAAGTGCGTACGGATTTACGCCGTTTTCGCATAATCGTATACATATACTCAGCGTCGTAGGATCTAAATTCGTATTTAATAGCTTTGAGATTTGGTAAAGCGTTTGAAAGGTTTTGCGAGCAGCGTTTATTTGATGATGCACAGGTTCTGGCATGCCGCCTGCTCGGTTTCGGTCTTTTCTGTAACGTCAATGAAAGTGAAACGATATGAAAATAACCGATTAGAAACACACATCGAAATAGGTTATGTTTTCGCGTAGAAAACTATTTCACGAATACGTACTCTCCGCTGTGAGACAGTTTGGCGTCGAGATTAAATCACCGGATCGAGTCAGACAATTTAAGAATGAAACAATAAGTATAGGTTATGAAACGCAACGTTATTTAATCGATATTTTTTAACAAAATTTTCACCTCTCCGGATAATTTAATTTCGTTAGTTGAACGACGCTGCTTTCAGGACGATCGCCGAAATTATTGTTTAAACAGTATCGGATTTACATTCCGTGCAAGAAATTGAGTTAGGTAAAGGTAAACGAAAGCACGTGATCAAAATCTAGGGAAAACTGGAGGGTCGATTTCACAATTCCATGGTGTAAAAGAGAAGATTATGTACGTGTATAATTTATTGAACATGAATCTTTTACACAGAAACGTCAGATATGTACGTATATGTATCTAGCGAGAGCTTGAGATTGAGAAAATATATATCTCGATCACGCGTGGCAAGCTACCAAAATCATAATTCACCGACAAGTATCGACCAATAACTGACGCGTCACGTGATCGTATTCATCTCGTTGAATTCGATTCGATTCCAATTTCACGGACATTGATATTTAGTCAAGTACTTTGTACGAAATAACGTTCGTTTCTTTAAAATATGTTTCAAGAACAAATGAAATTAATTATACAAAACACGACGGTATGTATTAACGTAATTTTGAAATTATAAATAAATATGTAATTTGAAATTATAATGTATAATTTTTATCACACATATGTACTTTTACGCATGTCACGAGGGATTCTCTTATCCAAGTAAGCGCGTAAGTACAAATCACGTCTAATGTAATTTCACGCTTACGCATATCTGCGTATGTCAGGTATTTTTGAAAAAAAGTCTAACGTTACGATATTTTGCAAAAAAATAAAATAAAATAAAATTAAATTAAACAAATCGATATCGACGTAAAAAATAATCAAGGAAGAAAAAACTGTAACTGATAATAACGACCATCTCCCTTTATTCTTAAGAATATACAATTCAACTGTCACAAGAGACATTGCCCACGCGTTATGAAATTTCGACGAGAAGATACATGAGATTTCTTTGAAAAGAATCATTCGTCGGTGCTCAACAGACAATTGATGTAATTATTTCTCGATGTAAGGAACGAAGGAAGGAGCGGGAGTATGGGCGTTACAAGTGTCGAAGAAATCGCCTGGGCAATGGACAACACGGTGTAATTATCGCGTGTGTGCAAACTATCGCATGCAAAAATGTTGCTTGTTTTTTTTCTTCTCCTTTCCCTATTTTCCTTTTTTTCTTTTTTTTTCTTTTTTCTTTTTCTTTTTTAATTAATTTTTCTTCAATCGGTAACGACGTTCGAACTCTACGGGACTAAACTGGCAGTATAAGAATCAACAGACGTACGTACTTTGCGGAGTATCTAAATGCAATGCATCACCAAAGTGAATTCGACAACGATCCGCGTAAAGGATTTTACTGCCGACTGCCGAAGATAAATACACACGGGGGGGGGGGGGAGGTATCATCTGAAGAGATGAAAAGTAAATGACATACAGTAGGTGCAATGCTATTAGTGGAAATAAAAGGAAGTAAATGGGCGAATTGAACTCTGCCCGATCGAGCGATCATTCAGTTTGAAGCAGCAAGTACGATCGTTTCGAATTATTCGGCGATGCGGAATCAATCGCTGATGGCGACTCTCACTTTTTACCAACTATCAATCCCTAAGTTCTATTAATCGTAAAAAACTGTTTGAAAGCTTAACTATCGAATCGTATGATCTACGTACGAACTATACAACGGGATATCTC